GGGAAAGATCATGGTTTGTGTTAAAGTGGGGAATTTGTTATGTTTGAAGGACCTTTGTCCTAATAATTACCATAATAAACACGTGGTTAAAGCTACAATATGTAACTTAAGGTAGCACTAACATCAGCTCCAAATCAGTCCACTCTGCTCCACCCAGCGCTCCCGCTCCCTGCTACAGTCCACCATGCTTTCCCCAGCTCTTTAGATATTTATTGTTATGAAATTACATTAAAAATGAAACAGAACTTACTGATCAAAAAGAAATAATTGAACATCTCTGATTGGTTAGAGAGGCCAATCCTGCTCAAACCCTTGTAGAAGCTAATCTCTCTGCACTGCTGCCAGTGCTGTTCAATGAGTCTGGGTCACAGGAGGCTTCGACAGCACCTCTCCACATTAAGACAAGTTTTAAAGCATATTTTTCAACAAGATTTTTTGAAAAAAATAGTACATAGTGTCGCTTTAAGACTGTGGAATGGTGAGAGTTAAAAGAAACAACAGTGACTGTTGGAACCAACATGTTAAAGTGCAATGTTTTTCTGACCCATCCATCCACCTGCTTTCTCTTTTGCTCCCATCGTTATTACTGCGCTCCCTGGGCTGTGGCACTTGAAAGTTAACATGTTGTTTTGGGGCATTTGAATACTGAATTTGTTTCACATGATCCCTAAATGTCGATTAACAATAAAATGTAACTATTGGTAATAATAAGCTACTTGCTCAAACGACCTATGGGGTCAGTTTTATGGAAGTTTCTAAATCCAAGAGAGTACAACTAATGCTATGACCTGTCAGAGGTCTCAAATGCTGCCTCAAATGTCTTCATCTAAAATAAGTTTATGGAAAGACCTGGAAAAAGGGGCTTGTGGCAAACTGAGAATGTCACCCAAATTCTCAGATTGTTTTCATTTTTATAAGCATCCTCTTATTTATAGATCTCATCTTTTTCTTCCATTTATTTTATGAAGATTAACATTTTTGCCAGCACTACGTAGTCTTTCATTTAAGAGATTTGTCATAGTTGTACAAAAACCCCACTGAAAAGGTTTGAACAGCAAAAAAGGAGAATTAACTTTGTTCTCAAACTTTGTGTATTTTCTCAAACCATTTGAAAGGCAAAGTAAATTCTGTCTGCTAAAAAAAAAAAACTAATTTGAATGCAGCTCATTTGGCTTAAAATTAAAATATGTTTGAATTAACTTAGTTCATTCATGTTGTCTTATTTTTGTTACACTTATGCAGCTGTTTTTTCACTGAGTTAGCAAGCATTCTTATATGCATCCACATTTTTCCAGCTATGGTGTCCAGTACAAATTGTTTCATCCCATTATGTTTCATGGTTTAGTGTCATAATTATCCATTCGGCATGGCTCACTAGTTTTCTCTTTTTTGGAGGAAATTAAAAAATGCGAGGTTTACTGAGGCAAACAGTCAGTGCAGTGTTTCTGTTTTCTGCAGTGCAAATTTTACTGTAGATTAAACAGATAATTACAGATTGAATATTATGTTTTTTTTTCACAATTTCAAACAGGTTTGAATTTTGAGCAAAAGTTACTGCCCTGCTCTACATCAGTGAAATATGTCTGCTTGTACCTGACCAGTGTTATGAGTCTGGACATCAGTCCTTGACCTGCCTCAGGCGCATCAACCAAGCAGAGGTCTCTGCCCTTCTCTGTGCTCACTGACATGCATCTTGTCTCAGATGTGGAGCATGATGGGCAGCAGAAATGACTGGGAGAAAGCAGGAAAGTAGCAGAGAGGGAAGAGAAGAGAGGTGTGTTTGAAGGAGTATTTGAAGAAGGGCTTGTTTAGAAAGAGTAAAAGGATCAAATCATAGAGTGAGTGGAGAGGAGGAAGAAGAAAACAAGCAGCAAAGTCAGGGGAAGAGTGACAAGGGCGGAATAGACAGCAGGTGGACAGGCAGGGTGAAGTGTGATGAGGACAGGGATGTAGTAGAGAAGGCAGAGTGACACAAATGTCACCATACTAACCTTTTATGAACTCTCAGTTCCTTCTCTCTATTTTTCCTCTCTTTCTAGAGCTGAAGCCCTGTGGAGATGGCCACCAAAAGGACAGCATGGAAGCCAGTGTACACCCTCCAGCAACTAACTTTCCACACCTAACTGCCTCTACCATCTTCAGCCACCAGCGAGGGCTGGACAAATCAGTCTGCAATACCAGGAAGTAAAGAAAAGCAGAGGGTGACAAACCTCAGAGGAGTCAACTTACTACAAACCAATCAACCTGTTGAGTGTTGAGAATATGATTGAGCTTCTTGGACTTCATGAGAAATGAAGTAGGCTGCACTGATGCTTGAGCAATGGTATGGAGCTGTCGGACATACCCGGATTTATCGATTGGACATCCTATTGAGATTACGACACTTTTGTGCGCACCTCTGAGCTGGACCACTTTTTTAGATTGGCTTGTTGGCAAAAGCAAGTAATTGAAAATCGCCCCTTGAGAGGTTCCCTGTTCTGATTTGTTGTCTAGGACAAGGGCTTTTTTTGTTTTTTTAAAGAAACTATTTCAACCCAGTCTCTTTATCACACATTTCTCTGTCTTCTTCACCATCTTTCTTATACATTGTGGAGAAATACATTGTGAAGCAGTACCATTCTTCATCTTCCCTTTGTGACAGAGAGAGAGGAGGGACAGACTGTCCAGAATAGATAACAAGCAAAGAGACTGGCACAGAGAAGAGAAGGAGGAAAAAGAACAGAATATAGAGGGAAACAGGTAGAAAGGGACAGAAGAGGAGAAGGAAAAAAAAACAGAGAATTAACTGGGATTGTTTGAAATCCTCTTGGAGACTTAGAGTCTCTCTCTAATTTGTCTGTGCTGTGTTAGAGCTAGTTAGCACAATGGGCAGGGGAGGGGTCAGGATTTACACCAGGGGGGGCACTTGAGCAGGAGAGTTGGGTTATATCTCCCCTGCACCTGCCTTGTCTGCATCTTAGTGTTTGGCAGGATGACAGACTGAAGGATGGACTGGTGAACAAACAGCTATAGTGAATGACAGACAAGCTCTGAGGCTGGAAAGACAGACAGGCAGACAGACACACGTGAAGACAGGTACGCAACCTGTTCCAACCAGCACGACAGACAGCGTGCAATTCATTGTCATTCTATGCAGTGTGTGGAGAAGACATAGGGAAGGAAAGAAAGCAGAGCCTGAAAGAAAGAAGAGGACCATCCCTGTGTTTGTAGCTTCTGGAGAAGCTCAGTTACTCTGCATCCACCTCAGTCGGTACAGTGGCAAGCACTGAAAAACAGGCAGGGAAGGAGGTGGCTGTTACTAGAAAAGAAATACAGGTTGGAGAGGGGGGGGGCAGGCAGGCAGAGAAATAAAAGGAGAGAGCAGGTGTCGGAAATCCTCCCCTTCATCTGCTTGTCATTTACTCCTTTATGTTCTCTCGTTGTCTGGTGAGGTGATTGGTTTTCTGATGCCGGTGTTCCTCTGCTCGTAGGCCCTCCGCAGAGCCGAGGAAAACAAGAGGTGGGCTCACAGAGGAAACCAGAAAGAAACAATGTTAAAGGAAAGGTGGAGCCCCATTTTGATTGACTAATTTTTTACCCATTCCTTTTCTTATTTGTCAGGATGGCTCATATTTCCCCCCCAGTTTTTTCTTGAAATAAGAGAAAGAAGGAAGACAAACATCAGCCCAGTCAGTCCCTCATTGTCTTTGTACAGAGAATTGAACCTCTCCTTTTATCAGTTGTTGATTTTTCTTGCCTTGTTCTAAAAGGATTATTTTCTCCATCTAAACACTAAAATCCTCTAGATTCCCACACAATGTCCTCATGCCCAATGTGAACCCCTCTGACTCTCCCACGGCGCCCACCCCTTGGCTGAAGTGTTAAAATCCTGTGGTCTCCGATCTCAGCGCCTGTGTTGACTCACTACTCCAGCGAAAATATGGCACAACGTTTCTAATATCGACTGATTCATTCTGTAAGTAGGACTCTCTCTCTTTCTAAATGTGCATATGCATGTGTTCACATATATAGTACACTCTGTGCCATTAGCATATACTCAGCTCATGTATGCACAAACACAGATGTGGTCCATCTTTCTGCAGTGTTGGTTCTTTTGGTGTCTTCACAGCAGATTTGCTTTCCTGTGCTTCCTCTGCTCCAGGCAATATGAGCGTGTGTGTGTGTGTGTGTGTGTGTGTAGCCCACCCAAAGAAAGAGATTTTGATCTTACAGCCAAGCTTACAACAGAATCAGAGTGGTGTCAGAAAGGGGCGAAGGAGGTGCCTTTTTCTTGGTGTGTATGTGTGTGCCTTTCTCTCGGTGTGTACGCCTACATATTGGTCCTGAGGTTAATTGGAACTAATTAGTGGTGAGTATTTTGCCTCTCAGAGCAGTTTTTGCTTTTGTGTCAGTGTACTTGAATTTATTAGGGGGAGATGGCTACAACTGAGGAGGGTGAACCAGCTAATGAGAACAACTATGATTCTCTGACTGCTTCCGTTTTGCCTTCATTTTGCATTTAATGCCCAGCTGCATATCATTTCAGCCTCCTTTTATCACCCCATGTGCTTCCTTGGATGAAACCGCATACTTAAACCCAGCCTCTGCAATGTCCTGCATATTACTAAGCCCATCTATCTCCACGGACACATCCACATCTTTATACACTCCCACAGTCACCAGGCCCTGCATCGGGGGACGCTCAATCAAGACAGTCCCTTCAAACAGACCAATGAACTGTGAATAACGCCATTACACAAACTCCCAGCTCAGAGTGTTACAAAGACAGATAGAATGGAAGGGGAAAAAGAGAGTGAAAGAATAAAAACATTCTGGAGACAGAGGAACAAGAGGAGAAGGGGAATAAGAGATGAGACAGAGTGTGAGACAGAAAGCAACAGAGAAGGAAGGGTGAGAAACACAGAGGGAACAGGGAGTGTGCAGGTCTAGATGGGCCGCGGAGCAGCAAAAAACCCTCTGCTTTATGGGAACACTCTGATGGGCTTAGCAAGGCCCCGCTTTGTTCACACTGTTGGTCAGCCTCTCAGAATTAAGATTACTAAATAATACGATTACTGCAGCTGCACGCTGAGCACAGTGCTGCCAATCCCCTTTGTCACTGTCAGAACACCCCGAGGAGAGAGAAGGAGCACTGTATGATGCCATCAAAGGCATGACAGTACTGACTACATTACACGGTCACAAGGGCCTTTGCTTCACAACATGACTTCACTGCTGAGTAAAAGTCGATATAGTTGGGGAGACTATTCATTCAACAAGTGGCCATAAAGAAAAGTATACCGAGACAAAAATAATGCCCAGGTCTTTTTCTTCTCAAATGGACGGAGGTTGTCATTATGTACGTTGTACGTGCATTTCCTGATTGCACTTGTGCAAACCTAAACCAAAAGTTCTCTTGGTGAAACATTTGCTCCGTACTGCAATTGGAGTGTATTTGAAGCTGCGTCTATCGACCTGGTTGAACCCACTGACACCGTGACATCATAAGTCAGCTTTTGTGAGGACATGTGTGTGTGCCCACCAAGACGTTCTGCATGCACAACATCAAGCCCTGGTTCACAGTAAGACTCAAGCAACTTCATTATGCCAAAGAGAAGGCCTACAGAAGTGGGGACAGGATTCTCTACAGGCAGGCCAGGAACACATTGACAAGGGAGATCAGAGTGAAGGTCTGTGCTCAGCTGGCCCCCATCTTCACACTTATCTTCAACAGATCACTGGAGCTGTGTGAAGTCTCTTCCTGTTTCAAACGCCCCACTATCATCCCAGTCCCCAAGAAACCCTCCATCAGCAGACAGAATGACTACAGGCCTGTCACCATGACATCTGTAGTTATGCCTTTTGAGAGTCTGGGGCTGGCCCATCTGAAAGACATCATAGACACCCTGCTGGACCCCCTGCAGTTCGCCTACTGGGCAAACAGGTCAATGAATTATGCAGTCAACATGGCACTGCATTACATCCTGCAACATCTCAACTCCCCAGGGACCTAAGCATGGGTCCTCTTGGTGGACTTTAGCTCAGTGTTCAACACCATCATCCCAGACATCCTTCACTCTAAACTGACCCAGCTCACTGTGCCTGCCCCCTCCTGCCTGCTCTAATTCCTTTTTTTGTTTTCTGTCTTAGCTTTTTTACTTGTTGCCTCATAGAACAGCATTGTACACACACATTGGGAACCACTGTACCAAAGTCAAATTCCTCATGTGTTCAACACATCTGGCCAATAAAGCTGCTTCTTATTCAGATTTTGATGTTTTATTCTCTATCCTCTGTGTGGGCTGTTTATTTCATGTTTTCATGCTTCACAGCTTTGACACAGATTCCTGTCACCCTGACCTTCCAGTTAAAAGTGTTAGAAAAGCTGAATTCCCAGTCTATGTTACACATCAATATGTGCTCTTGTGGTAGCTGATAAATGGCCCCTGTCCTTTGGGAGAGGGGAGAAACAAGCAGGCAGCAGAAACTGTTGTCTAGTCCTGCTCAGGGGAAGTTAAGTACTACTGTTTGAATCCCACTGATCCCAGAGTAGTGAGCTAATATCAAGGTTGTCCTGGCCTCAAACCTCCTCCTATGTGATATGAAATATCTCCGCTCTCCTCTCAGCGGGAGCAGCCATTTGCCTGTGGAGCTAAAGATTACCTTGGAGCAGGAAACAGAAAAGATGCATTCAGCATGTGATGATGTAGTGTGATAGTAACAAATAAAAAAGCAGAGCGGAGGGCACACAACGAAATCAATGAATTATGACACACAGTGTGAACATGCATCTTAAAACAGCCCTAAAACACAGCAAGTTGGCAGCCATTCATTTTTGTTTCTGTTCCTCTGTAGCACATTAGTCATCTAGCGGAGGTTTTGTGTACATGTCATGGAGTGTATTTCCTTCAGTGTCAATGAACTTTGACCCCGGGCCCTCCCAAGATGAGTCCCATGGTCACAATATAACTGTATGAGTCAGTCTGTAGAACCAGTAGAGCTCCAGTCAAAAGGCATCCGTGCTGAAACACATGCACTCTGCTCAGCAAGTCCAGACATGCAGAAACAGAAAGGCAATATGGAGCTGATGTGGCAGATTATCAGTTATGTATCATTCGGTCTCCCCTTTTCCAGCACGTTTCCCAGCAGAAGTCTACTCCAGTACGCTCTAATCATTTCACTTGACTTGGTCAAATTGTGGCAGAAATGCACATGGTTCAGAAGATAATTTTTCAAAAGCTTCCCATTGCCCCTCTTTGTACCAGTTAGATCCTTTCACACCCGTGATCCCATCATGTCTATGGGTTTCTGATTGCTGGTTGCAGCTCTGATTGTGCTTGACAATATTGTCTCTTGTTTTTCCTCTTATGTTACTGTTTACGCAACAACATACTTTCACATTGATCATTCATAATTTTACAGTCCTTTGTTCGTAACAGCTGTTATTTCTTTAACAGTGCTGTAATTTAGCAGGAAATACCTGTTTGCTTAGTTGTTTGTCCACTCCTGTTTGCTCCAGGCTCGCTACTCTTGGGGAAAAAGACAGAGTGAGTGTATGAGAGTGTGTGTGAGGAGGGTGACAAGAAATGGACACTAGGACACACATGCCCTTTCCATAATGTGCTCCTGGCTGCGCTGTTTGGCTGGCCATAAAGTGAATCTCTCTAATGGCCTCTCAGTTAATGGAGTCATTAAGTTTGGATTGCAAGAAGATAAAAGCAATGTGTATAATGTATGTGAACCGGGTGGACATGTGGTTGTTTGTACTCTATATGTGTACTGTTACTGTAACTGCTTTGTGTGTTTCTAGTTATTTAGTGCTTCAGTAGCTACACCCAGGACAACACTAAAGGTAGTGGTGTATTAGCATTAGTAGAAAAGGTCAGTATTCTCTTAGTGTAATTGTAACACCGTCTGAGACTCAGGTGATCAGTCCTGACAGGGTCTGTCCTAATCAGCTGGCCAGGCCCAGAATGTCACAGCTATGCTTCACTACATTGCTGCTTCCTTGTTTGAGTGTGACAAAGGCTGATTTGAGGTCATTTCAGAGAGCTGTCCCTGAGAGAATGCAGCAAAGCTGGCAAAAGGCATTGTGGGTAGTGTTGCGTGTTATTTTCATTGTGGCATGACTGCTCATTAAGTATATTTCAATTTCTTGATTCTTTCCAGAGGGTTTGCTCATCAGATTTTAGGTTGTAGCTGTGGTTGCATCATTTACTTGTTGTTTTCTGTGGAATGCAGCTTTTAATGTACCACAAAGTTAGTTTGCAGGCAGAATTAACCTTAAATCGCGCAATAAAATGATTAAAACAGAATGCAAAACACTTTCTAATAAGGCCAGACAGAGTCAATAGTCTGACAGTTAAACTTCTACGTTAGTTTTTTTCTCAACTTTGCAAAGGTGAACTTTTTGTATCTCTAAATTACTACACTCTTCACAAATATTCCAAACTCAAAAATCTCTGCCAGCTTTGTATGTAAGATGGTATCAGTCCATCTATCAGAAGATCAAAGAATACATGCCAAATTGAAAGAGTGCACCTTTTAATTTAACCGGTTACTAAGCAGATAAAGCCTGTAGCTGGAAAATGGAGTCGCAGCATGAGATGTCATACTGCACTCGCTGATCAAACCTGTCTGCAGACCCCCGAGGAGGCCAGAGGAGGTCAGGCTGCAAAATATGGAAATCTCATTTAATTTCACTGTTATTTTATACTGAGATTGGATAGTGTGGGCATATTTTAGGAGTGACTGTTCTGGTCAGAGATTTCATTATTTGTTCAGGGTGCCTTTTGTGACTATGTTTGAAACTCCATTTTAGACACTGTGACTACAGTAAAACTCTTTTATTACACAAGAGCGGATGCACTCTGAATGCAGTCTTGTACTGTTCATCCACCCTGGTACAATTCTACATAACTGCTTTTGTGTGAAAATTTGTTCAGAAGACATTCAGGTAACAGCACTGTCAGCCTT